CATGGGCTTGCTTGAGTTGGATTGGCGCTGCGTGTCTGCGTCATAGTTGGCATTGGCTGGCATTTTCGCTAGCTATTCCAACCCTGCGGCGCGTCCAGCGTCCATTGGGACGGTGGCTCTGCCGACAGCTTAACCTGGAACACACCACCTCCGCGCCTCGTTTCCCCTTGCCCGCGCCACCAACACGATCTGTCCCGGCACGGTGAGGTAGCAATCTGTGCATGTGAGGTGAGGCTTTACTCGATTGCATGAACAAGCAGTACCTAGTCGGCCTTCACTGCTGACTGTGGGCAGGAGGAGGGGCCTAACGTAGCTGTCTTCAGCTGGTGTGTGTCTTGCACCAGCGGCATACGTACCAGTGTGGAATGGGTAGCAACCCGGTCTAGGCCACGCCGAACTGGGGGTCTCAAATTGATTCTATCGGTGGCCTCCCTCTCACGCTTCGTCCCTATGTGTAGGTATTCTTTCTGATCGGTGAGAGGGGCTGTTTGAGAGGAGAGAAGACCCTTTGGAAAATAAGAATAAGGGACGTCGAGGACCCCTCATCGGACCAAGGGTATTATTCATCTCAAGCTTTTGGATTGCATTGTCCTGATAGAGACATCGGACTGCAGACATTCGATAGTGAAGAGGCATTACGACTCGTGGATCACTTCCTGCCACAGACTTTATCCTACGACTCCAGCCATCTGTCGGTCTGCCCATCATTCTCCACCAAGATCTGCTTGTTATTGCGTCGTGACCGACCTCCTTCCTGTCCTTCATCGCTTCATCGAAGGTAAGCTCCCTCGGCTCGATCGACAATTCCTGCTCTCATCCCCCAGAAACCCTCCGTGCTCTACTCCCCCCATCTCCATCATTCTTGCTGCACTAAACTCGACTTAAGCTGGCGCAACAGTCGTGACAGCAACAGCAGCAATCATAGCAATAGAAGGGGGCACGAAAGATAGACTAACACTGCCCCTAGTGCTGTCTTGTGGCGTCACCTCCTTTCAGCGCAACGAGCTGAGACATTGGGAGACGCGCCCAATTTCCCCCAAGCTACCAGCACTTTACGGTCACGTCACTTTTTGCTTCTTCTGCTCTTCTCTTACGGTTCGACGTACCCCCTTTGCAGCTTCGCACCAAATATCCAAAGCAGCAGCACGCCGCACCAGAAGTCCAGACCATAGCAAACCATCGCCCGCAAGCGCACCCGACCGCACTACCTCACCTCACCAGCGCGCAATCAGTTACCTCAGAGCTCTGGGCACCTCGTCGCTTGTGTAACTGATCGACGCTCGGCCTGGCCCATCCTAGCATCCTGACAAGCTACGAACCCATCGTCTCATTTCCCAACTCCCGGTTTTTCAACAACGCGCACCACACATATCATCCCCCACCCTTCCCCCCTTCCACTGCTTCTTTTTTAACCCCCTGTCCCTTGACCTTCTTTTCTCTTCCGCCCACCGCTCAGGTTCAGGTTCAGACTCCAGTGTCCAGACTCCACGGCCCTTCCTCTGTCTGAGTCCCTCTCCACGACCGCACACGACCCTCGATACCCTTCCCTGTTTAATACCCGACTTGGCCCCAGAGACCCCCACCGTCGTCGACCTCGCGTTTTCTCTCTCGACTCAACTCTGTCCCAGCACACACACAAACACCACAACCGTAACGACCACCAGGCGTCTCAATTCGCCTAGACGCCATCATGTCGGGTCTTGGCGATGCCGAAGGCGGCCAGTCCAACCGCGGCGAGGCTCTCGACGATACCTCGGGTAGCACCATTTCTGGCCTCGTCAGTACTCTAGCCGTCTGCGCTCCCATTGCCGGCGTCTATCTCGTCATCTTCTTGATCCTTCGTCGCAGCCAAAGGCGATTCTATGCCCCGAGAACTTATCTCGGCAGCTTGCGTGAGAGGTGCGTGGGAATTCTTGTGTCTTGATGAGTCTCACATCCTAACTGCCTCACAGCGAGCGATCACCAAGTCTCCCCAGTGGCTTGTTTAACTGGTTTAGTCACTTTTGGAAAATCCCTGATGTCTACGCCCTCAAGCACCAGTCTCTCGATTCCTATCTCTTCCTTCGATTCCTCCGTATCTGTGCTACCATCTGCCTGGTCGGCCTTGTTATGACATGGCCGGTCCTCTTCCCCGTCAATGCTACCGGCGGAGGTACCGCCAAGGAGCTCGATATCTTGACCTACAGCAACATCGATGTCGCATCCTCCTCTGGACTCAACCGTCTGTACGCACACGCTCTCATTGGCTGGCTATTCTATGGCTTCGTCATGTACATGATCATGCGCGAGTGCATCTTCTACATCAACTTGCGTCAGGCTTTCCTGCTTTCGCCCACCTATTCTAAGCGAATCTCGTCTCGCACGGTCCTTTTCGTATCAGTTCCCGACGAGTACCTTGATGAAGCCAAGTTCAAGAAACTCTTTAGCGACTCGATCAAGAGAGTTTGGATCACTGGCGACACCGAGAAGTTGGACGATCTCGTTGAGGAGCGTGACAAGGTCGCCATGAAGCTCGAAAAAGCCCAGGTGAAGCTCATCAAGTTGGCGAACGCCGCTCGTCTCAAGGCTGCCAAGAAGGGTGGTGCTCCTGAGAAGACTCCCTCGGCTCAAGACACCGAGGCTGGCGCTTCCGATGCCGCTGCTCGTTGGATCCCCCAGAAGAAGCGCCCTACTCACCGCCTTGGTCTTCTGGGTCTCATTGGAAAGAAGGTTGATACCATCGAATGGTGCCGTTCCGAACTTCAGCGTCTTATTCCCGCCGTCGATGCTGCTCAAGCCGATTACCGTGCTGGAAAGGCCAAGAAGATTCCCGCTGTGTTCGCAGAGTTCTACACACAATCCGACGCCCAGGCCGCTTACCAGGTTACCACGCATCACCAAGCCCTTCAGATGACGCCCAAGTACATCGGTATCCAGCCTACTGAGGTCATCTGGAAATCTCTCAGAGTATCTTGGTGGCAGCGCGTCGTCCGCCGCTATGCCGTCATTGCCTTCATCAGCGCACTCATCATCTTCTGGGCTATTCCCGTCACAGTGGTCGGAATTATCTCCCAAGTCTCGTACCTCAAGAAGGTTTCCTTCCTCACGTGGCTCGACAAGATTCCCGACGTCATCATGGGTGTCGTTTCTGGCCTTCTCCCCAGTGTGGCTCTGGCTATCCTCATGTCATTGGTGCCGGTCATTATGCGTCTCTGCGCCAAGCTCTCTGGCGAGCCCTCCAACTCCCGCGTCGAGCTTTTCACCCAGAACGCATACTACTGGTTCCAGCTCATTCAGGTCTTCCTTATTACGACTGTCTCCTCATCTGCTGTGGCGACCATCCAGGCAATCTCCAATAACCCGGGTTCCATTTTCAGCACCTTGTCCACCGCGATTCCCAAGTCCTCCAGCTTCTACGTCAGCTACTTCATTCTCCAGGGTATCACCCTCGCTACCGGTGTTTTGACCCAAGTGGTTGCGTTTGCCATCTTTGTGGCTATTCTGAAGTTCCTTACCAACACGCCCAGAGCTCTGTACAACAAGTGGTCTACTCTTGCCGCCATCTCGTGGGGAAGCGTGCTCCCTGTTTACACTACTATTGCCGTCATTAGTAAGTTCCTCTACTTCAACTCAATCCTGATTCTCTTGCTGATTTTGACTAGGCATCACCTACGCTCTTATCGCTCCTCTGATGCTATTCTTCTCCACCATCGGCATTGGCTTGTTCTACCTTTCTTACCGGTACAACATTCTGTTCGTTACGGACACCAAGATTGATACCAAGGGCCTCCTGTACCCTCGCGCCCTCAAGCAGCTCTTTGCCGGCGTCTACTTGGCTGAGATTTGTCTCGTGGGTCTGTTTTCCGTGTCGAAGGCATTTGGACCCCTTGTCCTCATGATCGTCTTCCTCATCTTCTCCATTCTCTTCCACCTCACCCTGAACAGTGTCTTGGACCCGCTCCTGTACACTCTTCCCAGATCCCTCCAGGTCGAGGAAGAGTCACTGAGTGCCGACATTGAGGGTATCGACCGCAAGGACTCTGGCAGAGGTGTTTCCGAGGAGCAGAACGGCGATTCGAGCGGCTTCATGAAAAAGATCCCCAACATCAAGAAGTTCGCCCCTGGAGGTGACGAGAACGTTGTTGAGAAGGGCGGCAACATTGTTACCCGTTTCCTCAAGCCGTGGATCTTTGCCGACTACCTTCACCTTCGCAACCTTGTTCCCCACGACCCCACACAGATCGACGAGATGTACCCTGGCAACATTCAGGATAACGCCTACTACCCACCTTCGGTTTCTAGCCTGCCTCCCCTTCTTTGGATTCCTGAGGATGCCGCCGGTGTCTCGAAGTATGAGATTGCTCAGACCAGCAAGATCATTCCCATCACCGATGAGGGCTGCACGTTGGATGAGAAGAACAAGCTTGTTTGGGATTCCGAGGGCGCAAGACCCCCCATTTGGGATGAGAAGATTTACTACTAAAGCTCGTGCTTCACCTGTCACTTGTATACCATTGATACCCTTGGGAGTATGAGCTCTCTATAATAACTCCAATGCCCACTGGGTATTGGCCTTTTCTATGTAGTCACAAATGAGAATTTTTTAATCCTACTGGTCTGCTTGCGCCTACTTTGCTAGTGAAACTGCGTACCGTGATTTAGAGAGAAGATGTATTACAAGTCGCGGCTCTGAATGAATTTGCCTATAGCTAAATCTGTCATACACTTGACAGGACTCATGATCGAACAGCACTGCGTAAGTAATGATGCCACACGATTCATGGAATAGAGACGAACGATGCATCTAGACCAATCTTCTTTCCAAGGGGATTGTTTGTGCGTCGAATCACCTCTTGTTCAGAAGGGCAGGTGCGTATTACCTCAGCAGTAGGTGCCTCGAGGACGGAGCAGGATGTGAATAATTGCCGGATCGAAGCCTTGCAGGTGAGGCTGCACGATTATTCAGGCTACCCAGAGAGGACTTTCCCGAATCATTTCAACTTCAACGTCTGAGGGCCAGGCTTCCATGTCTGCCTACTGTTCCTTGTTCACCTGGCAATCTGCCATTTGCACATTGCTTCCCGCATCGCCAACGTGAAGCTTTCGCGCTTCGTGTACGCACCTCGACATTTCCTCACGGTCACTTTTTCCTCGTCCGGCAGTCTTCACTATTTCAATACCTCTAGCAAGAACATTTTGCAAGCCACTTTACTTGTTGTTGGCAGCAGAAGCACAAAAATGGCGGCAGTATCAGGAGATGCCCCGTCGTTGGCAACTGCTATCGGAAATACTCATCAAATGGAGATTGACGACGAAGCGACTAGTAAGGTACGTTTACGGCAACCGTGCCTTTGGCTTCGCCAATGCTAACTGGTCAGTGGCCAAGTCTCAGTGACAGTGCAGGAAGTGCTATGTGCACCCCGTCCCATGTTCCACTTTTGGAATCCCCCCGCCGCTCCTCTGAAGTACGCGGAACCGCGCTTTCGCGCCCCCAGCCTCTGTACCAGCCGACAACTCCAACTAAAGCGTCACTCGGCTCTCTCCAACGTTGTTCCGTCACAACCCAACAATCGCCCACTGCGAAGACGCGACTTTGCGGTCTCGTCGCGTCGATTGATAGGGATCAAAGACGGAAGCTGCAGTCGACCATGGCTGAGGCCCTGCTGGGCCTCACGCCCTCATACGGAAGCTCGTCGAGGAATAAGCCGTCAATTGCGCACCCCGATGACATCCCCGCCCAACTCCGTCGCGAACTCGATCGAAAGAAGGCGCCTACACGTTGCGAACATCTTTCCGTCACACTCGAAGTGCCCTCTACCCTCGAATTCGCTATTCGTGATGGCGACGATGCGCAGGAGAGCATCGATCCAGCGCTGAGCGGCCTCCGAACACAGGTTGTCGGAGGTCAAACCGTCAAGATCGTACGTGCCTATGACACCATCATCAGCCAGCCCCATGACAACCCTGTGACGCAGAGAGCCGTAGCGAAACATATTGTTGGGCTGCTTTCTGTGGTGGATGAGAGCACATGGGTAGTCAGAGAGGTTTCGCGCGGCCAGTACGGGTGGTCTTTCACCTACAACTGCAAGGACTCTTTCGTGACTTGGAACCGGCAACATCAGAAGACGCCAAATAAGACTATCATAGGGGAGTATAGTCAGAAGGAACTTGAGCCGGAAATGCAGGGTAGGATATTGCGCCTCCGAGCGCGCATGTTTTGTTTGCTAACAGCCACCTAGCCCGACCAGCTTTCGACTGTCGCGGGACGCTTATCGTTGCATTTTCGAAGAATACTCGAACCATTAACGTCAAGTACGAACACACGCCTCTGCACAAGACTTTGGGCAAGATGATCGAGCACTTCAAACCCCTTCCTCCGGCAGCACCTCCAACACCTCTCATTCCTGCGGGAGAAAAGTCTAAGAAGATGAAAACGCCGCGAAAGCGAAAGAGCGAGGCCCTGAATGCGGACGGGACGCCTGTCGAGCCAAAGCCAAAGAGAAAGAGGAAGAGCGAGGCCTTGAATCCAGATGGGACACCTGTTCAACCGAAGAAGAGGAAGAGGAAATCGGAAGCCGCAAAGGACGCACAAGCAGCTGGCGATGCTGCCGAAGGCGAGGCAACAACCACTGTTCCGACCAAGGCGGATGCCGCTGTTCAAAGTGGAGTGCATTCACATGCGGTGCTGAATGTGCCCCCCGGCGAAGCGGCTAGGCGCCGCGAGGTCGCCATCAGACTCCTCAGCGATAGCGGCTTGGATCCCGAGAGTCTTTCTACGGAACAATTCAGTATCTTTGCCAATCAATCTCCGGATCTTCAGAAAGAGTCTCTTGCCATGCTGGTCAAGTATGGTGCTGAGCGACTCCGCATCGTTCATCCCAACGATGCCGCTGCGTCCTCAACCAGCGCGCCACCCACGCCTCAGCAGGCAACGGCGCAGGCTGCTGTCACGACGGCCACGTTGGAATCTCCGGCCTCAGGCAAGAAGAAGAAGCGGTCTCGAACGTCGAAGGCGGTTGGAGATGCGGAAGAAGTGGAGTTGATTCCGGCACCCCCAGGCACGCCGATGAAGCTGATGTCGAGGGGTGGATGCATCGCTTGCAGAAGAGCAAAGACAAAGGTATTTGAAACTGTTTCGATGAGCTGCCTAGCCAGAGAGACTAATGGGTTCAAGTGCAATCGCGCCAAACCCGAGTGCGCTTCTTGTGAAGAGCTGGGTGTGGAATGCCAATATCCCCTGATTAATAAAATGCCGGCAAAGAAGAAGGAAGAAAAGTCTGCAGCTGCAGTCGAGGACGATGACGACGATGACGATGCTGAGGCTGAGGTTGAAGCCGAGGCCGAGCTGGTGGAACCTGAGATGGAAGTTGAAGAACAAGAATCGGACGACATTGAGACAATCGACTACACTTCAACCATGCCGGTTGCCAACATGCTCACTCCTGCTGCGCAAGCTCCCAGTCAGGACTATTTCAATGATGCACCAAACGAAATGACTTATACTCATTCCGCCTCCAACGCTATGAACATGCCACACGGCGTTCTATCATACCCCGAGCCTTCTGCCACAAATTACGCAGAGCAACAGGCAGTCTCCACGAGCTTCTCACAACCGTCTCTTACCGGCACGGCAACATACACTCAACCGAGCACAGACGTGAACAGCTATACAACCGCCAGCAATGACAACTTGTCGGGTCTCAATTACTCTCAACCAGCGGCTAAGAGCCCGGGAGCAGCGAGGACTTCTTCACGGCGCAGCTTGCCATCCGGACCAGGACAGCCGCATCAGCCCACGGCCGAAAGCCCTGTTCCGCTTCCCAGTTACGCTCAAAACTGGCAGAGCATTTCTCCTCCCAGGACATCGAACACAGTATCGCCTACCATGACGACCAAGCAACACAGGCCGCGAAGGTCGATCCAGGTGCCGGCTGCGACCACTGTCGCTCCCCAGGAGACATCCTGTCGCAACACGCAGCAACAAGCTGTGGCTCATGTCGCTGCACAGCAACAACGGCATCATCGCCCTTCCCCGACACAGCAAGCAGTTCAAGTAGCGCAAACAGTCACCCCGGCCCAAGTCTCGCCATTCCAGGCCCCTGTGCAGGCAGCCCGAACTAAGAGTCGAGCCGGACAGAGAGCCTCCACTCGTACTCCTGTCAATGAACCCCGTGCAACACCTTCCCATCATACCGTTCAATCATCGACTTCAGCGACGGTGGACACAGCAACTTACAATGATACCCAATCCATGAGCAACGTGTCCAACTACAACAACTACAACACGAAGTACTCCAGCCAGGGCGATAACTCGACAGAGTTGGACACCACAAGACTCGCCTACCAGCCTTACGCGGCGCAGAACACCTCTGCAACAACATCTACTTACCCCTCGTATGACTACGACAGGACCAACACCACTGCGCACACATCCAGCAACAACGCGCGGTCCGAACAGCTGTACAACAACCAATCCCAATCGCGCAACGCGCAATCATACAATAATTCCAACACCAATACCACAGCGGCGGCGAACACTTACGCTCAACAGCCGTCGACGACCCAGCAGCAGTCGTCATCCCTGCAGTCGTTTGACATGCGAAGCTCAGCAGCGAGCAGCACTCAACCAAGGTCATCCTCACGGAGCGCCAATCAGCAGCCTCAACAGCAGCAGTCACAGTCGCAGCCGCAGCAAACACAATCGTATGGATCCTACGCAAACCAGACGCAGCAGCAATCAACTCAACCGGACCAACATAATTGGTACGGGTTTGGCTCGGGATCTAACACTTCCTTTACGCCAGCGAATGTCTCTGGAGGCTATGCCACGAGAGGTACCACTTCCGCCAACTACGGCAGCGGGCCCAGCACCTCCACCCAAGCATACCAGCAGCAGCATGGCTCCCTTAACATGTCGGGCCATAGCTACTCTCCCGGCGACAATGAGATGTACGAGTTGTTGAAGAACTCACTTCACGACCCAGGTCGCTAAACGAACGCGGCTGACCGACGGCCTACTTGTGTGTTTTTCTGCGGTACGCGGTTAAGCGTACATACCTAGTCTACCACTTTAGCGAACCTGCTTCTAGCAACGGACATGGGCGTGGACCGGGAACAGCCTAAAGGACAGGCAGTCGGACTTTATCTTCAAGGGAAAGGACTTCAATTTTGGTGGGACATCGCCCACAGGTGGCCCACGGGCACCTTATTTGTTACTTGTAGTTTAGTATCTGGCCATCAGTCCGGTTCTCGTGGATGAGATCGACTGGTGGAGTTGCACTAGGACCAATGAATGAACATGTGCTATTACATGGAACCGACTTCTCGTGATGTGCCTGGTATGTAAGGTCAGCGTTGCAGACTCGTCCACGGTCGAGATCATTGCCATGCCACCTGGCTTTCGTATCTTCATACAATACCGTCAGTCGCATTACTGGTCGTCTAGTTCAGCCTTACGATGAGAGCACGCCCGACAACTTGTAGATTTGCTTCCGTGGACCTGGTGAAGAGCCCAGTGCCACGTCATGCTGACAGAGAATTCCAAGCCTGATAATGCAGGGCGACCGCCGTGAATTTTTCGACTATCGTATAATGTCTGTCTCTGCGTTGTAAGCTCGGTGATGTTTATAAACGACATCGTTCATCATCTCTTGGCTGGGAATGAGTTAAAAATTTCTAGACTTTGTAGGGCTGGCAAATTTCACATCCTACCAAGGGGCACCATAACGTAAGATTGGGTTCCTGGCCTTATCACAGCCTTGGAGATAGTTGTTATGCAAGCGCTCACTTTCTCGTAGACTGGTGACTTCAACGCCTGCATATATTCCGGCGTAGCCAAGAACAAGCGAGAATTGGACCACTTCAAGCCCATTCATCTATCAAATGAGTGCCTGGGGCTACGAGTCTCGTCTCGAGGCTTGATAGGGGTAGGTCAGTATGAGAGAAATATCTGTGTCGTCACGTTTCAGTATGCGATGATGCCAAATCTCACATACGCAGTCCACGCCAAACTGATCCATCTAAGATGCCAAGTTTCCCCCACCCCCTCTGCTCCGTCCGCCCTCTCCGCCCCTTCCAGCACCATCGGGCTGTAATTTGATGCAGCCTGATGTCCCAACAGCAAAGCCTGTAACTTACGACTGCGCCCTCTGCTCTGTTTGGAATGCTGGAGGGGGGATTTGAAAAAGGAAGTGGTGGCTTCGAGGTGTTTCTAACGTCAGTTGCATCTTCCTACATGGTTTTGTGCAACGCCAATAGGTGTATGTGTGGCTCGAAGCCGTCAATCTTTTCCCACCTGTCTGCCTTGTCTTGCTTCAATAACTTGTCACTGCCCTCAGTGACTGCTGTGTCGAAATCTCGCTATGCTAACCGTCATCGGCGGAATGGATAGGAACCTTCTTTGCTGCCACCGGCCTCAAAGAGATACAGCGGAGTCAAACTGGGCGCAATGTTTCCGCCTCGAATGGATAAGTCTCTGGTATCACTCAGAAGAAGGCGTCGAGTAAAATGAAGCCCTGCCTTGTTCGCGTCGTGACATGCATCTGCTCGACCCTTAGCTCCTTGGCTAAGGCTGACTCGGTCTGTAGTTTTCAAGGGGGAAGATCCTGATCATCGCGGCTAAGCAATTTGAGATGCCGAAAGAGCGGCAAAGCGTGGTACTGGATGAAATCCAGGTATGTCCACAGGCTTGCTTATTTGAATAGATGATTCTCGATAGGCTGTCCCAAGGCAGATGCTACCTCACGCTCTCAGTTCTTGGTAACGTACTTACCTGAGAACTTTTGAATCAGAATGGAGTGATTGTGAAGGCAACATGCTACGTAACGTAAAAGGGATATCACGGCCTGATTCTCCAAGAAGAGGGACATCGTAGTAGAGTAGCATCAGTACCAATGAATGAATATGTGCTCTTTCACAAGATTAGCTTGATGTGATGTGATTGGTATCTAAGATATGTATGGTATACTTGTCCTCCTAGCACCCATCCGCCCCAGATGCTCTACTTCTTCTCCTTGCCATGTCCTGATGGGATATAGGGCACCAGCCAAACGAAGCCGACAGTCTGCGTCGCAATCTCGGTCTGTCGCGATAACGTTTGGATAACGTGCTGAGTAACCTCCTCACCGTTTGGGAGCTTGCTCATTTTGAGCTCGCTTTTATCTGTCATCCTCGTACTGATCTTCTCCGTAGCATCCGTGCACAAGTTACTAACGAGTACATCACAGCTGGTGAATGGGCGAAGGTGGTTGGGTAGTCGAATCCCACGAGCGTGCAATCTTTGGTTTCGAGAATTCCACACAAGATCGCGCCAGTCATCGCCGTAGATCTCGCGAGCATCGCTGATGAGACTGTTGGGAATAGCGACCTGGAGAACTGCTGCTTTGACGGCAGGAAGACGTTCGGCTTGGTATCGAGCATACTTGGTGGCGACATTGTGATGCTTTGTGAAGTAGAGCAGCTCGTTGCTGCTAGGATGAAAGTCTGTCGGTGCTGTGGAGTATAGTCTTCCAATCAAGAGGCTTTGAGCTTCATCAATGCCATTTTGAAGACGCGCCTCAGAACCGCCTTTGTACATCATGGTGCGCCCCTCGATGACGTTGGGAGGAGATGATGAAGAAGATGTGATAGGTGTGGAATGATCACCGCTGCTTGAAGATTGACCTGAGCGGCCTTGACGACGACCGGAGCGCATAGCAGGCTGAGGCTTCTTGTTCTCATCAGGGGATTTGACGCGATCGATTGTGGTGGCGTTGTACAACTTGTCAATCTTGTTGCTGAGATCCGAAAGAAAATTGAAGGTTTCATCGAGGTTATCCAAGGCCCAATATGCAGCACTCTGTGTGCATCGAACGTCCTTGAATTCTGGAGTCATGATTCTTTGTCGCATCTCAGTCGAGATTCCCATGTTCTGAAGGGCCGCGTCCCAGTCATCATCTTCATCAATAGCATTCAGTTCCGTAGCCTTGGCTTTGATGTAGTGGCGGCCGGCTTCGATAACGAAATCTTGCTGGTCCTCATCATTGCACCAATGACGCCAAATCATATCCGCAATTTCATCATCGAAACCCGAGAAGAGGAGTATCTCCTTGCTGTTGAGATCGTTGGGAACCTCAACTGAGTCTTCGGAGCTTGAGGAGCTTGAGTAGGATGCCATGGAGATAGTGCGGAAACCGGGTCCCCTCTTGGATGGCGGGAAATATGCGAGCTTGGCAAGCGAAGATTTTGAGAACGTTCGAGTTGTCATAGTTTCTGTAGTGGTGGGTTGCAGAAAAACTGTCCGTGGAGAATTACGTGTGTGAAGAAGTTAAACACGAAACACAATCCCTGTGAGAGAATTTGTATGCGTGCTGAAACTCAAGTGAAATTTAGCGCGAATGAGAGACAACTGAAAACTGAAGGGCAGAAGGAAAGCCCGGAGAGAGAAGGCGAGTTGATTTGGAGAGAAGGCTGGAGAGTGTGAAAGATGAGGAGGGGTCGAGAGGTTGATATGCCTCTGTAGAAGAAGATACTGATCCTCAGAGATGACCCTTTGGTCCTTGGCCCCTTCCTAAGTTCTTGAAAATGGAGTGATCCGTGGTTCATTTCTAACTTTAAATTCACGTTCTATGTGTTTAGATCACTCAAGTACGTTGAAATGTTGACAACATGCATGACTTTGTGGAGTCGTCAAAGTTGACCAGGATGTATCTGGATCTGCCCTCTACCGTGGGGGTGATCTTTTCCATGAAATCCGTTCCGGTCATGCTTCAGGATTCGATGATGTACACCTTCTTCGGAAGTGACTATTTTAGGGGTTGAATACACAGAAGATGATGCAAACTGCCGAAGAAGAAAGTTGAATGGCATGTTGGCATGATTTGTGCAATGATGTGGGCTGGCGAATTCTGGGCCGAGGAATTAACAAAAAGAGTCCGGTACGCGGTGGTCTTCGAGATCATGCCAAATTGCCTAGTGCCTACACGAGGAATTCAGCAGGACGGCATGGAACGACAAGCTCTTTCGATGTATAAGGTTTATCAGTGTGGGAGTGGTCAGTGCTTTTTTTCTTGTCTTTCTTTTTTTTTCTTCTTTTTGGCTCGCTGGGTCAGATAAACTTCCATTTAGACATGAAGTAATCAAAATGAAGTAATGCGGTTTATCAATGCATTGATTCTACGCTATGTTGACTCCAGATTCCAAATCAAAGTGATGGATTGTTTGTAAGTATGTATTTCTTAGCTAGCCGCAGGCAACCATGCCAAGTTTAAGCAGAGATAGAGGAGTACGCGTAAGATACTAAGAAGAAGCAGATGCCTCTTAGCCATCGTCACTTGAATATTTCTGTTAGCATGAGGCATGGCATCTAA